AAAAAATCTTGGATCAATTTTCTATAGAATTATTATTTCTATAGAATTATCTCTATAGAGAATGGATGGGTCTTATATAGAGAAAAAAATATTGGATCAATTTTCTATAGAATTATATTTCTATAGAACCTATAGAGAATGGATAGGTTTTATATAGAGAAATAATTCTTGGATCCAATTTTCTATAGAAGTCTATAAAAACTCATAAATGTCTATAGACTTTCTATAGAATTCTATAAAACATTTTACTACGGGATCATGACTATATATTGGCATATCATGACTATATATGGGCACAAGATGACCATATATATAGGCACATCATGACTATATATTGGCACATCATGACCATATATAGGCACATCATGACCATATATAGGCACATCATGACTATATATTGGCACATCATGACTATATATAGGCACATCATGACCATATATAGGCACATCATGACCATATATAGGCACATCATGACTATATATTGGCACATCATGACTATATATGGGCATTCAGAAGTTTTTTTGTCATAGAAAATTTGATAGTGTGGACAGAGCTCTAGTAAAATGGACCTTTACACTAAGCTCCGCCCCTTGGATATCGTTGCTAAGGTCGGACAGAAAGATAGCGTAAACATGTGCGTTTTTTAAGTTTGATTGACACCCCGGAATGGTCCATTGTAGCCTGGTCCTCAAGCTAAGCAATAAGCGAGTCAAGATCAACTTCAGTGACGTTCAGATAATATATCCAGTAGATAAAGAGAAAGATAATGAAAATCAAAGGAAAGATGAATCGACTTAATTTGTCCACGTTTGCAATGCTGAACTTGTTTTCGGGCGGCTGTTTAGCAGCAGCTTCGACGCTCTTAGGTCGTCTGTGCTCATTTTGAGGGTGGTTAAGGTCCGAGTTCAAGCCATTATCCCCTACAAAGCTACCATTGGCTACGCCTGATCCTCTCCAGTTGGTATTGTTACTGACTTTTCGCTCCTATAAGAAAATAAGCAGAGTAGATGAAATAATAAGAAGGATTTCAAATAAGATTCTGAAAATATGGTTTAACCAAGACACAGTATATTAGTTCGTGATCCTAATTCCTAAGTAGTGTTACCAATTACGAAAATGATCGAGATTGCCTCCCATGAATTTCACTGGCTGATATATTGCTTACAAGCAGTTTTGCAGCTACCCGGAGACGTTGGGTAAACTAATGAGATTTTAAGATTGAACTGTAATAGAGATATCATTAAAATGTTACATTTTTGTAATATATACGCCGACATAAATGGCAGCACAGGTGTGCTAGGAATCTAATAAAAATCCTAACTTCACATTATGTCATAATGCTCACAATCAAAACATACAATTTATGGTTTTACCCTTAGGTCTAGGCCTTGAATTTGGCTTTCTCATTCATTTTATAAAATATTCTGAAATTTTCAGTCTAGTACGCGCGGTAAATCTGCCCATCAGAAGCATGCAAAGGTACTTATCTTTCGCTTTAAAGAGATTTTCTATCCTTATAACCTTTACATTTTGTAATGCTCGTATTTGTATCATGGGTCACCAAAGGCAATCGCTTTATGTATTCAATGTGTTGTTCTGTTAGGGCTTTTATGTTAGCTTGCCGCTATTATCTTTTTACATAGTCATATTCGTAACATTATCTTCCTAAATTATCCACGGGAACTATTATAAGCCCATTTATCTGATATTTGGGTTGTTAGTAGTGTATTTTATTCTTAATAATTATGCCATAAAATTATGTTGTATGTTTGTCTGAATAATGTTCAGCTTTCGAGAGATTTTGAGTAAATGTCAAAAATAAATTTGTTACAATTATAAAAAGGTCAAACAGAATGTCAGTTATCATCATTAACATCAAATCATCATTAGTATTATCATTATCATTATTATTATTATTATTATTATTATTATTATTATTATTATTTTTCTTTTTTTTAATTATTATTATTATTATTATTATTATTGTGAAAAAAACTTATTCAATAAAGTTGTTTTATGCTTTTATAGCCTTAAATACTGCTACTTACATCTGCGTTATAGTTGCTAATTCGTGACGAGGATCTTGGTTCTTTGTGTGGTGGCGCTTTAATTTCCTCTTTCGGTTTCTTCGCTGGCGTTGATCCGTAGCTGACCATCGCAAATTCTAACAACGCCGAGAAGACCATCAAGTAGCAAAATACGAGGTAGTAGTCAATGGCCTTGACGTACGACAGCTTCGGCAGGGAGTTGTTAACTCCGCTCATCAGAGTCGTCATTGTCAGGACGGTAGTGATTCCAAGTGCAACTCGAGCTGGAACGGCTGCAGGATTTATCCAGAAAGAGACCCAGGAGAGGATGACGATCATGGTGGCAGGGATGTAGACCTGGATGGCATAGTAAGACATCGAACGACCAAGGTACACGTGGCCAACCAGCTGCGAATAGTTACCAACTGAATAAGAGAAATAAAAAATGCAATAATTATAAGCCTACTAAAGGC